GACTCTTTTGTTGACCATGATGGCTACTCCATTTCTTCTAAGGTATTCCTGCCCACAGTAGTAGATATAATGGTCATCTGAGTTAAATTCACCCATTCCAGTCCATCTTAGTTTGTTGATTCCTAGAATGTCGATGTTCACTCTTGTCATCTCCTGTTTCACCACCAATTGGCCTTGATTCATGGACCTAACATTCCAGGTTCCTATGCAATATTGCTCTTTACAGCATTGGACTTCGCTTCCATCACCAGTCCCATCCACAACTGGGTGTTGTTTTTGCTTTGGCTCCATCCCTTCATTCTTTCTGGAGTTATTTCTCCACTATCTCCAACAGCATATTGGGTACCTACCGACCTGGTTCAGTGTCCTATCTTTTTGCCTTTTCATACTGTTCATGGGGTTCTCAAGGCAAGAATACTGAAGTGGTTTGCCATTCCCTTCAGCCAGCTTTGAAAATATCGAGAAAAAGACACAATGACATAAAATGCAACAGATTCAACATTTACTAATTTACAAAATAACATTAGAGAGGTCACAAATATATCCAACATTTAGCACTGAGGCTAATTTGGGAAAATTTAGGATAGTATTCTCAAAGAACAACTTACCATATTATGAAAGACAGCTACATCTCCAAAGCTAGTATCTGAGACTCTTTTTCTAAAATGTACTTTAGAGGAGATATAATGTATTCATATGAATATACTCCAGAATATTGCAGTAATTTTGTATGGAGACAGTAGACTCGTATTAATTCATAATGTATATAAATGTGAAATCACAATGTTATATACCTGAAACTAATGTTTCATGTTAATAAAAAATAAGAAGAAAAAAAATGTACTCCAGACACACACACACATATAGTAGGTAGTTAGTGTCCATGCATTGCAGAGAAGCAGCAGAGGGGTCCTGCAGAAAAGCACTGGGCATCAGGATACTGGGGGGTGGGGGTGGGGTGGTGGGGTGTCTACCCCAGCTCCGCCACTCCTCAGCAGTGAAGAGCTCACCTGAATTCTGCTTCTTTTTCTCACATCACTATGAGGAAACGGAGTTTTATTGCTGGTTGCCAAAGTCTGACTGTGAGCACTGAGTGGCCCTTTTCCTCCCCCAGCGACACCCACACAGAAGCCATACGGAGAATGATGCCCAGTGCTGGGGCCGAACGCAGGCTGCCTGGCCTGAGTGTGGAGGTTCGGGCAGTGATGCTCAGGTGAATGGGGCATGGCCTTGTCTGTAGCCTCACCAAGGATTACTGACCCAGCACAAAATAAGGACTTCACCAGGATGAGAAAAACAGAAACTCGGTCCATGAAACTCCTTTCTGCTTTGGGCCATGCTGCTGAAACATCTGAGCACACTGTCTAGCATTCTCCCTCCAACATCATCCTTGGTAGACATACATGTGTATGAATAAGTCACAGATACATCCAACTCACAGCGTCCATCATGGGAGAGGGTGTTTTACTTGATACATGAAAAGCCATCCTCCCTACCAGTACAAGTAATTAGAAAACAACATGCAACTCTGACTTACCTTTTAACCTCAGCTTTGGGGTCATCACACAGTTCCACAGTCGCTGTGACCCCAACATTTTCTTGGAGACTATCTTCTGATTCTTTGGCACTGTTTTGATTTAGGTTGGTATCTTCCGGGTCAACCTTTACGCCTTCTCCAGTTCCATTTTCATTGAAATTATCATCATAGTTCTAGGTAAGAAAACATGTGCGCCATTACAAAATAAATACTGTAATACCACTAGTTTTTTATGTTATGCTACCAAATAGCTATCATAAACAATGGTCATGTCCTATACACTCTAGTAGGAGGATATCTTCAGGGTATAAAAAGGAGAGGCAGAAAAGAAGAATATGAATGTCCATTAGAGAAATATTAAATTAGGGGAAACCGGAAACAATCCAAATATTCAGTAAATGAATGGTTGAACAAATGAAGGAAAATTATAGAGCTCTTCAAAGTCACGTTTCCAAAGACACTGATTCAATTATGTGGAAAAAGAGAACACATTAGCAAAAACAGAAGAGAGAAAATTATATATAACCTTTGATTACAATTTAATTCAACATTAAGGAATATCCTTAGGCAGAATTAGGGATGATATTGATAGTCTCCTATAGTTTCCAAATGATCGGGCAATGAACAACTATTTTACAACTGGAAAAAAAAAACAGTAACAAACAGGCATTATACAAGAAAAAACACCTCACAAATGTATCTTCACTAAATGCAACTGACTTGCTTTTGCCTTGGGTAATGTTTCGCCTCAGTTGTTTTCTCCTTCTTTTCTCCCCCTGTTCCCTTTCTCTGCAAAATGTCCCCCCTTGACTCCCATCCCCAGAACTATAAAAGCAAGCTGCAGGAAGATACCATGTCTGTCCTAAGATCATTCTTCCTATCCCGTTCCCTCTTCACACTCAAGAACTTAACACTGTCATTATCTGTTACAAAATCCATGTAAGTATTGCAGTAATGTCCTTTTTCACAGGGCTTCCCTGGTGGCTCAGTGGCAAAGAATCTGCCTGCCAACGCAGGAGATGCGGGTTTGATCCCTGGGTCGGGAAGATCCCCTGGAGAAGGTAATGGCAACCCACTCCAGTATTCTTGCCTGGAGAATCCCATGGACAGAGGAACCTGGTGGGCTATAGTCCATAGCGTCGCAGAAGAGTCAGACAAAACTTAGTGACTCAACAACAGTCATGATTAAATTCAGGTTAAACATTTCCAGCAGGAATGTTACAGACATAATGCTGTGCCCTCAGTACATTTTATCAGGAAGCAAAATGTCACTTTCCATTTTTCAGTGATTAAAGTCTCATCATTTGGTTAAGATGGTTACTGCTGGATTTTTCTACTGTAAAGCACCTTTTTCCTTTTTTAATAAGTAATAAACAGTATATCAGTATCTTCTTTCCTAATAACTATTTACCCCAAGGATCTGGCATCTATTGTTGATTCTTATGTGAACCATTTATTATACTGGTGGGTCCAGAATAGTCCTGCCATTTACATTTGTATTAATTCATATTCTTGGAGTGATGCCTTCCCATCTGCCTCCTTTCTCAAACTCTCTTTTTTAAGGCTCAATATACACTCGTGATTTTTTTTTAAATAAAACCAATTTGTAAAATCTATCACCATTATTTATTTGGCAAGCTCATGAGCCGACTTCTGGGTACTTCTGACTTATTCCCATCAATTTTTGAATACTCCCTTTATTTCCAGCATCGATAATCCAGGCTCACCTTGTACTTTCTCTGTCTCGGCCCTAGAATCAGTCATTTTCCCAAGGACCAAATCCTGACTCCTTTCATTGGGGAAGGGGGTGTAGAAACTAAGATGTGTGTACTATATATGCTCACTGCTACGAGGTGTCACTGCTTCGGGGCCCTCAGTGTATACTGAGCATTTGTGTCTGGTTTATTTTTTTAATATCAAACCTCCAATTCCAGTACTTCATTAGTGTTCTCTCCTTCCCTCAATCCATACCTGTATTTCCCTTCTCCTACCACAGAATCTGTTTCCCGACAACATTAGTATATTTACTTATTTGCTTTCTCCTATAATATACGTAAAATAGTTTCAAAAATACCACACCAATATTACTAAAATATCTCCTAAGTAAAGTTTAAGATTTTTTTGTTTTGAAGTTAATTTTGTCTTCAGGGTATGTCCCATGGATGGTGTTCAGAGTGCTGCATTCAAAGTTACTTGCATTAATTCTTCCTTGTTGTCAGCAAGAGGGTTTTATTTGTTTACACTCAATTTCAATTTTCTGGGGTTTTCTTTTACAATCCTTGTTTGCTTATACAATTTTTTTTGACAATACAGAAATCTCCCAACCTGAAGTTTCATGGTTCTCAGTATCTGCTGCTTTCTGCTCCTTTATCTACCTGTATGTGTCTCCACACCACCTTTCCCTTCAAAAAGAGCTTAGAAAAAATCCAGGGGAAAGTGCAGAAAACTAGATTTGAATTGGGGCTTTCTCCCTGATATAATCAGAAACCATAGGTATCATCAAGGAATACATATACATTTGGAGGAAAAAAAATGGGGTGGTATCTTCCTTGGTAAGAGGATACAAATATATGTGCTTACTGCTGCACTCTTAGGACCTACTGGGTATAAATTCCTCTCTATTCTGCCTTTTCCAGTGGTTCTGGCACACAAGAAAAAGTGTTCTAAACTAATGACTAGCGAGTCTTTGGGTGGAAAATGACATGAGTCATTTTATTAAAGGAACATACAATTCGCTGTGTGGTTTTATAACCGAGGCAAAAAGTTCCAAGTCACAGTTTTAATAGTGATTAATTCATGTGTCATGATAACTTCTGAAATATAAAACAGCTGTGCCATGCTTAGCGGCTCAGTCGTGTCTGACTCTCGGCTACCCGGAATGGACTGTAGTCTGCCAGGCTCCTCTGGCCATGGGAATTCTCTAGGCAAGAATAATGGAGTGGGTTGCCATGCACTCCTCCAGGGAGGGGATCCTCCCAACCCAGGGATCGAATCCAGGTCTCCAACACTGAGGGTGGATTTTTTACCGACTGAGTCACCGGGGAAGCCCAACAATACTGGAGTGGGGAGCCTAACTCTTCTCCAGGGGAGCTTCCCAACAAGGAATCGAACCGGGGTTTCCTGCATTGCAGGCAGATTCTTTACCAGCTGAGCTACCAGGGAAGCCCAGGAAACAGCTAAAAATTACCGAACATAAACCATTAGGATAAACAAGCCAAATCTAAAGTTTTGTGAAAAATTATTAGTGCATTACCTAAGTTTTCATAAAAACACTTCCAATTTTTTTAAAAACTACAGTTAACATTTAATACTTAATATAAGCTAACATAATTAGATCACATTAAAACAGCACAGAAATCAATTCCATTCCCTGTAGAATCACCAAATATCCTCAGTAAAATGGACAAGTTCATTTTGTTTTTATAGGTTCAAAAAATACACAAAATTGTGTTACACATATTAACAACATGTATGTGTAACACAGTATGTTGTGTTACAACATACTTTTAGTTAAAAATGATTCTTAAGATAGAAATTCAATATGAATCCTCAAGGTAAAATATTTAAATGACTTACTGAGTAATATAAACATTTTTTTCAGGAATCACAATCACTACAAGTTTCTAAGTGAATACTCCTTTTTTAAGCACTTTTATAGTTAATTCCCAATGTTGTATTGGTTTCAGGTTTTCAGTAAAGTGATTCGGTTACATATATATTTTTCCAATTATTTTCCATTCTGTTATTATAAGATATTGAATATAGTTTCCTGTGCTATACAATAGGTCCTTGTTATTTAACGATTTTATATACAGTAGAGTATATATGTTACTCCCAAACACCTAATGTTGCCTCCCCCCTACCGCTAATCCCATTGGTAACTATAAGCTTGGTTTCTATGTCTGTGAGTCTATTTTTGTTTAGTTCATTTGTTATCCTTTTTTCGATTCCACATGCAGGTGATATTTTATGATTTTTATCTGTGTCTGACTTACTTCACTTAATCTCTACGTCCATTCACATTGTGCAAATGGCATTATTTCATTCTTTCTAAATAGCTGTGCATATGCACCACACCCTATTATCCATTCATCTACTGAAGGACACTTGCTTCCATGTCTTGGCTACTATAAACAGTGCTTCTATAAACACTGGGGTGCACAGATCTCTTCAAATTAGAGTTTTCTCCAGATACATGCCCAGAAGTAGGAAAGCAAAAATTTTCCCTTTCCAAATGTTCATTTACATTGTTGGCACAATAAACTTGGATATACAAATGACCAACCCTTACATTTTCATATATTTATGAGATGAACAGCTACCTAGATTTAAAAATCTTACCATCACGTGTGTCTAGATGTTTTTAATGTGATCCCTCAGTTTATCCATACTATGAGAATTCCACATGCAAATTTTGTAAACACACAGACAACAGTAACAAGGTAAACTGACCACATACATAAGGCCCTGCGTTGCAGGCGGATTCTTTACCAGCTGAGCTACCAGGGAAGTCCATATAATGAGGCAAAGCACTGAAAAACCAAAATACTTTCAGCTCCTTTCAATCTGTTTTACAATCAATATGAAACTAGAGTGTGAAAGCTCCACTCCTTAAGACAGCTCACACCGAATAAACGAGAGCACCCCAGCCTAACACCTGATGCTGAGCGTCAGTGAAACTGCAACGCACCTGTGCTGGCCTCTGTTTCTTCTTCTTCTGCTTTTTAGAAAGCCTAAGACAAATATAGATCAAAATGTCAAATGTGTGACTGAGTAAAAGGAAAAAATACCAAAATACCAGTGATACAGAGAATAACATATTAAAAAATATTGAGTATCATAAAGCAGTAAAAGAAAAATACCCACATTATCATTTCAGAAAAATATAATAGTGGTTCAATTGATAGTAAAGTGTATCAATTAGCCAGTTATAAAACTGCTATTAATACAGTCAAAATACAGTCTGTAAAAATTATGTCTGACATCATGTCTTTATCCATTTCAATACTTAAAAGTTCTCTTAACCTTCTAGTTTCTTCCAAAATGCAGACAATATTAGCATAACAGAATAATTTCCCTGCAATAAAACAGCTTTTAAATGCAATCTCTAAATGGGCTAAGTAGGTCTAGTGACATTTTTAGAAGTACTTTTGTTTTGGCGCATCCTCCATCTCTTCCTCGGAATTGGCATTCAGACTGTTTTCATCAGTTTGAGGTCCTGAAAAATTTGCATCCTCCTCCTCCAACTGTTGTTTTAACAAGGCAACCATTTCCCGATGCTTCTTTGATTTTTCATGATTCCTCATACTGAAAGGATAAGTTGAAATGAGTGACTGCAATGGGATTAATTCACAGATGCCCAATTGTGTTACTGGATGAATACAACCAAGCTGAAATCTACTTTTTTCCCATTAGCAAATCATCAGTGATACTATAAGGAGACACAGAGCCCTTTTGGGATTTCTTAGGCATTTAAGTACACTGGAAGCCCATGACTGTTCTTTTTTCCTGTATTCCAGCATTCCCTCCCAACCCCCGCCACCTTCCCTTTGTCCTCTTATCTACATAGTTTCTTCCTTTTTTTTTTTTTGGTCAAATGCTCTAAATTTTTCCTTTCCCATTCTAAGAATTCAAACCTCATCATTGTTTTCTCTTAATCACTTAAGTATGGCTAAGTGGAAAATCACAAAGCAAGATTCTAACATTTAAAGGGAGACCCCTTGGATCTCAGAAATGGTGATGTGAGGCCTTGAAGTATAGGAGTAGTTTATGTCCTTTTGCTTTTTTTCAAGAACGGTCTCTCTTCTCACTCCCACTACCTTAAATATAAGTTCAGATGCATCTCTACCGTTCTGTGTGAATCTATATAAGCGATGTCTATCTCAGTGCTCCCGTGGGCAACTAAATAACACTTAACAAAATAAAACTGACAACACTAAAGGACTAGATCTCATCCTGTTCAGATCTGGATTTTCTAGTGGGGGTTGCCTACTTTTCGCTCCCACTAAAATTCTCCTTAAGAACAAAGTTTTCAGGAGAAACTGGAACATTCTATGCCAGAAAGTAAGAGTTCAAAAATATGACTCAGACACGTCAAAGGACACAGGAGTCAGGTTGACGGAATTGTCACTGAACACACCTAGGAAATTTTGAGCATAAAAAGGGCAATGATGAATTTAACATACTGAAACAAAATTCCTAAATTCATTCTGACAACAGACATGCAGATCAATGCTCTCATGTACAGCAGAAGGTCAAATGACGACTTGTGATGCAGGAGCACTGGCACCGGAAAAGCCTCATTTTGAGACAATTCTAGTGAAGACTGGTACAAGATGAAATCATCAATAAATGTTAAATCTAGGAAGGAAACTTTGGTCAAGGGAAAGATTATTTGTAGGGGTTTAAAGTGTCTCCCCACATATTAAACATGCTACAAGGGAAAACACTGCAAGGGGAAAAATACTAACTATACAGTGGAAAAATAAGGCAACACCCTGACTGGATGATCAAAATCATCACCAGCCAAAATCATCACCAGCCATGAGGCGGGCAGCCGTCTGAGCTTCTAGACACAAACCCTGAGAGCAACACAGGTGTGCACAGCACTCTAGCTAGGACCGAGCAACCTGAGTCTAATCATGAGGCAATGGACAAACCCCAAGTGAGAAATGGCTCTGCTTAAAAAGACATTTGAAAGGTCAGTACTCTTCCAAACCATCAATGGCACAGACAAGGGAACTGGTCCAGATTAAATGAGACCAAATAAATAAATGCAATAATACGTGATCCTACACTAGATCCTATATTGAAGCTAGGAAAATGCTACATAGGACGTTAACAAAGAATCAACTCACAAAAGTGAAATATGGGTAGTAAATGAAAGTACTACATCAGTGTTCAAATTTCCTGAAGCTGACAGCTGTGATTATGTGAGAGAATATCCTTATTCTTAAGGAATATATACTGATAAGAATATATACTGAAGTATTTAGAGGTAAAGGAGCGTTACGCACGTAACTTGCTCTCGGGTTATTCCAGTAAAAATCTTGTCTGTGTGTGGAAAGAGAATAAGCACATGCGAACAGGGTGAAATGTGAGCAAAAGGTGAATTGCGCACTCTATATTCTATTCATGCAACTTGCCAGTTTGACATTCAGTTACCAGATAAAAAATAAATTTTCAAATTTATTTGTTTTCAAAATTTTCTTGTTTTGTTTCCTTGTTTGGTTCTAACTTGTCCGCCTCACACCACTCCTCATGACACTATCACTTTTCCCTGGGGTTACACGGTGGTACCACTTGGGATTCCCACAGCCCCATTTCCATTGTTGACCTCCGCCTTCTCTACTGCACACGTTCTGCTTCTTTTTCCCTTGCTAGTTCTCCTTCCGTTTTCTCCCATTTTGCCCCCTCGCCCCCTGCGTTAGGATAGTATCCTTTTTAATACTTCTCCCTTCATCACTGTTCCCCTATGACAAAGTCCTGCCACTTCAGCAAATACACTACAGGCAGGACAGATCTGAAGGTCTTGGGTTGGGGCCACAGCCTGCAAGGCAATGTGATGGCTGGACATGAGTGTGCACATTAGTGGAGAGAGGGGACCAGCCTCAGCTCCGCGCCCCATTGCCTCTGTGACTTTGCCTTCTTCACCAAAACAAGCAACATTTCTTTCTGGAGATAGCATACACATTTAAAGAGGAACATGGAATGAATGAGAATCAGTACACCAGGCTTAACTGCTGGTACAGATGGTTCTCCCTTCTCCACTGGGAAGATATTCCTCCAAGATAAAAGGTGAGGGCGCGCGAACAACTGCTCTGAGCATCTTCTTTGAGGACTTTGAAAGTGTTATACCTCACCTCAAAAGAAGAGGTGAGTGCAGAGATAGTAAACTTACGCCTTTTCAGTCTTGAAAGATTTATCACACGCGGGGCAGTAAAGGCCATCATAAAGTTCTGCATCCTCGGCCTCGTCGCTGTCTTTATCTACCAGAGGGAAGCCTACAGTGAGAATCCTGTTTGATTAGAACATAAATCTAAAACATGTTAGCAAGTTACATCTCTTTGGTAAGGACCTAAAATTGCACACAAATTAGAAACTAAAATTTGTTATTTCTTCACCAAGAAAAAAATGTTGCCAGGATTTGAGTTGGCCTTTTAAAAGCAGCACTGAATTACAGGGGAAGCCTTTCAAATAAATCACTTTATCTTTCAAGTCCTTTTTATAAGTCTACTCAGAAGATGATTCAAAAAATCCTCAGAGTCCCAGATGTGTGCTAAGCTCAGAAAATCAAATGTCACTTTCATATTTCTACCACAAAGCAGTTTTTTCAACAAGTTCAGTTCAGTCGCTCAGTCCCGTCTGATACAAATGTAAAAGTGAAAGTCAGTCTTTCAGTCATGTCCTACTCTTTATGATCCCATGGACTATACCCACCAGGTTCCTCTGTCCATGAAATTCTCCAAGCAAGAATACTGGAGTGGGTAGCTATTCCCTTCTCCAGGGGATCTTCCTGACCCAGGGATCAAACCTGGATCTCCTGCATTGCAGGCAGATTCTTTACCATCTGAGCCACCAAGGAAGCCCATACAAATGGAAATACAGTATAGTACCTATAACTGTAATCTACTTTTAAACACTTAAGTAAGCTTAAATAGCTTATGATATTCCTTATGAGAAAGATGGTTCATAAAACAGCATATTATATGTAAACTCCAACACTGTCTTCATAGATTTTATAAGCTTGAAACTTTATTACAATGGAATAATTACTATCAGTACTGACCCTTTACAAAATCTAAGCTCTGCTGAAAGTCTTTGCACAATCTCACATTCTATCTTTAGAAGAAATAAACAAGTAAACTGATTGCCGTTTCAGATTTATTATGGGATCAAGATCCCAAGATATCTCTCCTATATTCTACATTTTGTTTTTTTATAATAAGTAATGGTAGTATGATTCTGAAGGACATTCTGAAATAATCAAAATAGCACCAATGTTTAGTATAAGATACTAATTATGTGTATGCTTTCAAATAACTTATTCAAATAGTGAATGAAGAATACTGAATTTGAAGACATAATCTGCACTAAGAATGTTTTCAAATGTTCTCAGACACATACCAGAGCTTCTCAGAGTCCTAGTTTCTTCATCAGTAAAACAGAGATAATTACATGATCAAAACCTACATGTAAGGGGTACAGTGGGAGGACAAAGCAAGATCTTGTGTGTGAAAGCACCTTACAGATTGTAAAACTCTACATAATCATGTTACCTTACATTTATAAGGTGCTTTATAGCTCTCAAAGCACTTTCACACACACTACTTCTAATTCATTAAGAAAACGTTCCATTTCCTAATCATTTGGAGTAAACGGAAGTGCCATTTTACCATTTGAGCTATTACTCAATGAAAAGCCACACTTGTAAATAAGGTAAAATTAATTAAACTATTTAATTTAATTAAACTATTAGATCACTTAATTTTTTATCATGGAATAATAGCCAGAGACAGTGGGGAAAGTCAGGTATATTGATCACTATTATCAACAATGCCCAATCCTCTCCTCTTATGGTAGTCACATGCCTGTGCTCTAATGACAGAGGCAGAGAAATGACACATTTCAGCACAAAATAGGAGCCCCTCTACAGGTCTGAAACGAGACAACTTATATACCAGACAGACTTCTGCACAACACCAGCTTTTCCGGAAAGAGTTACTATTAAAATTTGACCTACTATTTAATTGCATTTTTAGAAAATAACCAGTTGTACCTGATAATATGCCCACTTCTCATTATATTTATGCAGAAAAATAGTTTAAAACATGGCCAGAAAATTGTGAATGAAATTATCGCAATGATACTGTGTACTTCCATAGATTACCTTCACTTGGCCCTGCCAAATTGTTTTTCAATTATCTGCCACATTTAAGAACTGGGAGTCGGCACATTAAAATCCAATTTCCGGCCTCATCCTCAAAACAAACATGAAACTGGCAACACTTGGCTGGAACCCAGGTGTTCTCTAGGTGTCCACCCGCCCGGCACCCCATTCCTTGCTGTGTCACACCTGAACCCTTTGCAGGTGCTTGTGAGCATCCTGCGGAGAAGGCAATGGCACCCCGCTCCAGTACTCTAGCCTGGAAAATCCCATGGCCGGAGGAGCCTGGTGGGCTGCAGTCCATGGGGTCGCACAGAGTTGGACATGACTGAGCGACTTCACTTTCACTTTTCTGCATTGGAGAAGGAAATGGCAACCCACTCCAGTGTTCTTGCCTGGAGAATCCCAGGGATGGCAGAGCCTGGTGGGCTGCCGTCTATGGGGTCGCACAGAGTCAGACACAACTGAAGTGATTTAGCAGCAGCAGCAGTGAGCATCCTGAGTGCAAAATACAAACACTTCCTATAGTGTTTAATGAATGGAGGAAGTTACCATCCTGTCCATCTCTGAGCTCCTGGTCTTCCGCTTCATCTTCACCGGATCCATCTCCAAACTGCTTTTCATACTGTGCCTCCATCTCCCTGAGCTCCTTCTCCAAGTCAGCTACCGCCATCCAGGTCTGCTCTCTGTACTGCTCTGCCAGCCTGGGTACACACGGCACGGTCTCTGCATTGGTTTCATTTACTTCTGGGGCTTAAAACCCATCCTCCCCAACTGTCCATGCCTACAAACTCAAAACCTGGGCTTGGCTGAAAACGGGCCAAGTCACTTCAATCTGTTAACGGTTCTGTGGCTGATTTTAATCACTCTGTTAGATAACAGGTTTTGAAACATCTAACTCTTAGCAACTTACTAAAAGTCTTCAGGTGGTTTTAAATCCTAAGTGTCAACGTAAGTGGCACTTTCCCAAAGACGAGGTGCGTAGAACTTTCAAGTAGATAGTTTTTTAAAGAATGCTATAAAGCTCTGGACACAATGCTTTTATAGTGACTCAAGACAACTGAACTTTAAAGGCACTAAGTCTCTAAGAGTATACTGACAAAGTAGAGTACTGCGTGGGGCTTAGAAGCAGAGCCCCGGACTGACTTCAGGCTCCAATTCCCACCTCTGCAGTTTATTAGCTATGTGATCTTGGGCCTGTCTCATTTCCTCCAAAGAAAGGATAAAAACCAGAACCTTCATCACAGCACTGCTCCAAGAAAAGCACTCAGGATGTGGCCTTGTACAGAATGAGAATTCAATTAATATTAGTTATTATTAAATGTTATAAGAGGCTGTAAAGGATCTCAAGTGTGAATGGGCCTCTGAAGGAAAACACCCAACTTAAAAAGAAAAACTTTTTCATAGCTGATGAAAAGACATCATCCCAGTGCCAGGACATAAAAGAAAGGCTGAAGCCAGGGTGAGGATTAAACCTCCATGAAAGCACCAGGTCAGGTATCCATGGCGTTTCCGGGGACTGGCACCTACGTCTAGACAGGCTCCAGCCCAGCCCACATACTTGGCCTGTTTTAGCTTCTGCTGCCGCCTCATTGCCTCAGCTTTCCTGGCTTTCTCTGCATTTTGTTCTTCCACGAGTTTTCGATGAGCCTGCACTCTTCTATCCCTTTTACGGATGAAAGCGACCAGCTGACGGACAAGCTCATTCTTCTCCTTCCTCGCTTTGTCTCGGATCTTTTTGTTTTCTTTTTCCATGGCTCGCTTCTCCCAGCGGTTTGAAGCCTGCCGTGTGTCATATTCTTCTTTCCAAGCAAAGTTCTTCTGAGTGCAGAAGCTCTGCCAGTAAGCATAGAAAGGGTGGACCACCTGGGGACAAAGGAAGCAAGCGGAACACTTGTTATTATTTGGATTTTTTTTCCAGTAAGGCCGTAAATACTGATGCTGCAAAACATCTAACCTCTTTTCTTTATATATATAAATATATATAAAACATTACTATTAATCAATAGAGAAGACAGTCCTTTGAAGTCTTTACACAGTAACTCTTCAGAATTAATTTGATGAGGAAATTAATGGAATGGGGCCATGATCAAGAGGAAAAAGTAAAGAGAGGAGGGGATCAAGAAATACAAGAGAGTCACGGTACAAGACAGAGAATTAGAACCTCTTTTTTTAAAAAAAATAAAGAAATGGGGAAAAGACACACTGATAAATGCTAATTACAAAATGGTAGTGAGTGTTCCTTTTACCGTATCATAGTCACTCTGGGAGTCTCCAAAAGTTGGGAAATCTTCCATGTCCTCTTCTAAAGCAGATTCTAGTTCTTCCTTTGCAATCATTTCAAAAACATTACGGTACACCGTATAAAAGCCCTAAAAAACAGTAACAGAAACACAAATTCTTAACACTTTTGTAGTCTACTCATAGAATAAGATTTTTAAATGTAACATGAACATTTTTAATTAAAAAAAAAATTGAAACCGTTAAAAAAATTTACAGTCCCAAGCTCTGTCACTGCAAATACATTTAGGTTTCAACTGAAGGTCTTTACATGCTGACAGGTTAAATATGAAGGCAATGTTTCTCAGTTTTCAAATGAGTAGTCTATCACTTTCTATTTTCAAATAATTTTAAGAATTTGCATTCAAGAGTCTTACTTAAATGCTTGATAAATTATCAGTGAGTTCACTTCTTACCTTTTCATCATCACCATAACCAGAGTAGCAGGTAACAGTGAAATAGTGAAGCAAATCTAAGCTGTCATCTTGATATTCTCCATCAAGTCCACCTTTAAGCAGAGCCTCTCTATGATTATCATACCTAAGGGGGAAAAAAAAATTTTGCAACAACAGTGAAGGCTGAATAAGTAAGAATTCAAAAGATTCCTTACTCTGAAACAGTCAAAATATAACTTCTTTACACTTTAACGTGGCCAACCTACAACCAAAACCTTGGAGAAAAATATCAACAGTTAAAGACTTAATAGCTTCCCAAGTGGTTCAGTGGTAAAAAAATCTGCATCTCAATACAGGAGACACAGGTTCAATCCCTAGGCTGGGAAGATCCCCTGGAGCAGGAAATGACAATCCACTCCAGTATTCTTGTTGGAATAATCCCACAGACAGAGGAGCCTGGTGGGCTATAATCCATGATTCTGCAAGAATCTTCCACAGAACTGCTGATCAAAACTTCGACTGCAATTCCAAGTCCATTATAGTCATTATATGATACTAGCCATATATGAAACTAGCCAACATGAAGAGGGGAGTTTAATAAGCCAGGGAATTTCTACTCTCCCAGAAAGGTAGGAGCACTTTCACCAGAAAAAAAGCCTAAATCAGACAGTAGTAGCCATCATCTGGTCCTTAGACTAAATACACTTTTGGGATCTGGGAATTTACCAACATGGACATGAATAACACTCTCCCAGTGTTTATGTAAACCATCTAAGAGCTTCACACACATACAACTGACCCTCACTCCATAAAGTCAATTATTATCCTTGTTTGATACAAAAAGAAATTGAAGCTTAGCAATATTAAATAATGTTGCCCACAATCATAAAGCCAATAAGCAGCAGAGCTAGAATTCAAAACCATGAGTCCAGCATCAGAAGAACCACACCCCTTCCACTGTGCCGAACTGCTTCCAGTTCACAAGAGAATTAAAAGGTAGGTGCTTCAAACAAAAGGACAAGGGACTCCTCGGCCAGGAATACCACCTAAGATCTAGAGAAGAGTTAGAGCAAATGGAAGGCAGGAAAGAATCTCAAAGCTTCCAAAGGAAAGCAAAAGCATTTCTAAGGCCACATTTTCAAATTCCTCAGGAGAAAAATTTAGTATGCTCTAATTTTTATAGAAAAGGTAATTTAATAAGAATTTTCTTTATAGCCTTTCTCTCTTAGTAAGAGAGAAGACTTGCACAGGTGAACTGAACACCCATCTGCTCTCTGTACCAGCAGCATCTTGCATGGTTATGTCAAGAGTATAAAACCTATTGCTTCACAGCAAAAAGTTCACTGAGAATCTGGAACCTTCAAAAGGATTTCAAAAGTAGAAATATATGTCTGGAAATGGCATTAAGTGATCAGGTCATCATTAAAGAGTCTGTCATGGATGTAGATGCTTAACTCCAGCATATAAAGAAGTTCTTGGAAAAAAATATTACAATTCTTGACAAAAACACTGTATCTGTGTTTTTATTTTTTAATTGAAGGATAATTGCTTTACAGAATTTTGTTGTTTTTTAAGGATAAGTCAACATTCTTCCTTTTCTTCTGCTGCTGCTAAGTCACATCAGTCGTATCCGACTCCATGCAACCCCATAGATGGCAGCCCACCAGGCTTCCCCATCCCTGGGATTCTCCAGGCAAGAATACTGACATCATTTAATTTGTCAGACATCAAAGAGACCTTATTAAATGAGAAGGAGCTTCATAAGTATGAAAATTAAAACTATTTCTACTACTGTCAAACTTCACCTATGAGATCAGAGGTGAAGTAATCTTCTCTCAGGTTCCTTCCTACCCAAACACTGCATTTTACATAATGAATAGATGACTGGGCTTCAGAACACACCCCAAACTGTGTGATGTATTACATTTCTAAAAAGCCCTCTGCTGACCATTCTTCCCAACCAGATACTCCAGGAGGGACAGCACGATACTCACCACGCTCTCTCCTGAGGGTCACTCAACACATCATATGCCGCTTGGATCAGTTTAAATTGTTCAGCTGCTTCTGCGGCATTATCCAGATTTTTATCTGTTAAAATAAAGGACAGAAACTCACTCATCAGAAAAGTAGAGGACAGACTCTAAAAAGGGCCGCTTCCATCAGGAATGCCATAAATGGATGTGTATAAAACGAAGAAAAACAACTGGGGAAAACCAGAGAAAGTGGCTGATAGTTGATCATCAGTATCGGCTGTAAGTGTCAACTCGAGTAGAAATTTCATGCTTTTCTCTAAATCTCAGTGTGTTACTTAGCACTCAATCTGGATATCCACAAACAGAAAACCCTGAGTAGTACACATTTTATTTTCAGAAGGAGCAAAATACATCCATCAGATGTAGAAAGACTGTTACTGTTTGGTGCTAGGTTATATTTAGTGTGCCTTTACCACCATCTTTAAGGTATTCTTTCTTATCGACATACACCAAAATAAATCCCATAAAGCTTATAAAATACATACTAATTACCTTTCTCTTAGTTTGCCTCCTTAACCATGGAATTCAGAAAGCATCTTTGCCTCAGGGTGGTAGCCAGATTCCAAGATGGCCCCAAGGACCCCCACCTTCCTGGCGTTCACACCCCGTGTAATCCTCTCCCCCATCAACAGGGTCGGCCTGTGTGACTGAAACCCAGAGGCAGAAGTGATGACAGGACAGGACATTACTTTCAATACTGGATTATGACAGGCTGCAGTCTCCATCTTGGGTGCTCGCCCTCTCTTGGATCTCTGGAGTGGCCAGCTGCCTTAGCGTGAGGACACTCTGGTGGCCTCTGAGAAGCCCACGAGGTAAAGAATGGAGGCCTCTGGCCCATGGCCAACAGGAACTGAGACCTGCCATTACCCTGGGGGCGAGCTTGAATGTAGGTTTTTCCCAGTGATGATTCAACCTTCTGAGAAACCTTGAGTCCACCCAGCTACACCGTTCTCAATCTGATCCCCAGAAAACGGTGTGAGTCCACATCCTGAATATATTTGCTGTTTAAGTTTTTGGTAATGTGTTACACAGCAACAGATAACTAACACACTCAAAAAGCAAAATATCAGTATCTTGTCTACTATAGAGTACATCAACATTCTTTAGGCTACAACGCAATATATGCTTCTTTAAAAAAGGACAGAAATAGTCTTAAAGCAAGGCTCTCAAGTGTACCCGACCTCCTCTTTTTAGATACCACCACACAGTCCCACGTCCTTCAAGCAGCCTTCTGCTCAACAACTGACACTGACAACACTTTCTCAAGTGCAGCAATCTGCCTTAGTTCTTTTTGTTTAGGTGCTTGAACACAAAAAGCTTTTAGAACCATGTTCCTTTGAAATTAACAAAAAATAAAAAAAACAGAAATGAAAAAACTCCATCACAGGTCTGATTTCCCTTCCTTAGAGCAGCCCATGGGTCATCTTCTAGCCTACCTCTTCTCTGGACTAAATCTCCTACTTCTTATGTGCACCATAATACACTCTACTTTTGCTCAGTCATTCAGCATTATCTCTGTAACATTCCTGCTAGAAATGTTTAACCTGAATTTAATCATGAGGAAGTAACTGTTGTTGTTCAGTCACTAAGTCGTGTCTGACTTTTTGCAACCCCATGGACTGTGGGCCACCAGGTTCCACTGTCCATGGAATTTTCTAGGCAAGAATACTGGAGTCGGTTGCCATCTACTTCTCCAGGGGATCTTCCCGACCCAGGGGTCAAACCTGTGTCTCCTGTGTTGGCAGGTGGGTTCTTTACCACTGCACTACCTGGGAGGCCCAAGTGTGTGTGTGAGTCGCTTAGCTGTGTCCTATACTTCAAATGCAGTCAGACAGTAATGATCAAGGAGCTATTCATTAATTCCTTAACATTCTACTTTTAATCACTATAGCTAATTATATTCGTTTTTAGCAACAATATCACATTATGTCATACTGAATTTATAGCTGACAAAGTTTTAAGTATTTTTCATGTTAATTACTGACAAACCAACTGATAACTGTAAAACAGTTTTTCAAACTCAAGTAGAGTGCTCAATCCACTCTGTGGCAGATACTAAAGGTTAGCTGATCCAAAACTTCTCCCTCTTTTTTCTCTTTCAGGCTTTACTGTGGAGGCTGGATGAGCTAAAAATTAAGCAAGCATTTTGGCTTATCTCCTTTGCTGCTAGACAGGGCCATGTGACATAGTTCTGACTAGTGAGGTGAAAGCATCGGTGAAAGCACTATATTTTCTTTCCTTCCTCTTTGTCTTATACATGGACGTGAGTGCTGGAGCTTCAGCAGCCATCTTGAGACCATGAAGGAAAAGGCAAGAGATTCACAGTGACATTACTCAGCCACTCAAACAACGCCAGCAAGCATGTACCTCCAAGCCTTCTTGTGGTGAGAAAAATAAGTTAACTTACTTAAACCACTGTGGCTAGGTTTTCCATTATTTCCAATGAGTACTATCAACTTTCACCTTGCTGTGGCCGTGTTGCCATCCGGTTCTAAACACAGGACAGCCAGTATCCTGTTTTAATTATTTGAAATTTTTATTACTACTCTGTGACAAATACTACTAGTTGCCTACTCAGTATCCATTCTCCTCTTATTCCTAACAAAACTATGATGCTGATCACAGTGGTAATGTACACAACTTAAAAACCTTAGCTCCCCAAACTTTTCTGAAGTCGAGATTATCAGGTGACCCACTTTCAGCCCATCAGATACAAACACAGATCGATCAATACTAAGTGAAGCTTCCCAGGAGAAGCACTGTTCTTCCTGATGAGAGGGACAGGCCTGGGTGGCACTCACCTTACGCTCTAACTCACCCTTTGCGTCCTGCCCAAAGCCTGGGTACACTGCCTGCCGGCAGGTTATGACAGCTGAGGCAGAGACTGCAGGTTCATCCCCTCTTCCGGGAACAAATGAATGCTGATTTTATGGGGGCACCCGATCCCCCAAATAAAGATGCCATTTCTAGTCTCCCCTGAAGTCTGGATTGACCACATGACTAAGCTCTAGTCAATAAAATCCATGAAAGTGTTCTGTGGCAGCTTTTTAGACTCTTCCTTGAAAGACAACCAGCACACACCCTGTTCCTGCTTTATCCTTTCCTCCCTCATGCTGCCACCTGGGACCCCTACTGCCATCTCAGATGGTGAGTAAGGCCCCATCTGACAAGCTGCTGAGCAGAGTTCAACGACCTCATGGGAGACCTGCTGCCTGGGGCCCACCTGCCTCTCTCTGCACCTCCACGTGAAAGCAGTGAACTTCTTAACTGCTTACACTTGACACAAACACTCCAGTCTTATGGTCAGGATGATGGAGCAGGTCTTCGATGGCTTCATCAAGCAGCCAGAACTACCAAGAAGGGTCACCTCCTGATTTCCTACTACATGCGAAAAAAAACCAACTTTTTGAACACGACTGCCGGCTTCCTATCATTTGCAGCTAAATACAATCCTGATTTGCATACAAGGGTACAGTCCAGCTCAAGATTTCTATGTCTTCATCAAATCATTAGTAATGATGGTCTGATAAACAAAGAAGCATAGTTCACATTAAAGCAGAATGACAGAAAGCCGCCAACTAAATCTCCTGATATGAGACAGAAAAGGTGACTGTTTAGGGGTGGGAGGTGGGTGGTTCTTCTTCACCTTTTAATCTGTACTGTACTTTGTTGTCTTTTTTCTTCCCACTCCCTTCTTCCCTCCCTCAAAGAAGTCTGGTGACAGCTAAAGCTTTCAAAACGAGAAAACCCAATCAGTGTACCATCTGAAAGCAAGATCTATCGCTTTCTGAATCTTCTTTTTTAAATAACTTTTTCAATCTGTCATAAGGCTTTTTATTTCATTTAAATATGCCTGTGACTGGTTGACTAGGAGGTTGAACTGAGATCTAAAAGATGAGTGTAAAAAGTTAAAAAGCTATCATAGAAAAAAACGTGAAGTCTACCTTAATTATTAACATTAGGCAAATGCCATAGGTATTTCAAATCCAGCCACTGAAGTTTAAAAGGTACTCTCATACTATTCTTTGTGTTTTTCTCTAGATAAACTTGTGTCCTCCTCCACTTTCTCCCAAATGATCTTACAGTACCTTATAGAACACTTCATGGACTGTGCCGTTTACGCCCTGCCTTAACTGAAGCCAAGCTCCCTGAGAACACACTTCCCGACGGGCCCCTGGGGCTCTGATACAGCAGGTCTGGTGATGAAGCTGACCTCCTCTCCTGGTCACTGATCTTATTCACCACTCAGTACAAATCAGCATTCTGTCCATTCAAGTGGAGATTCCGACAATCGGGCTACCTCTCCTCCTTCCCCTCCTTCTCACTATTCACTAGCCTCCCAACCACCCCCCCAGTTCACTGAGAATTTTAGCGTGTGAATCACCTCTGCTCCCAGGTCCTTTCATCATCCCGGTGACGGCAGTGTCCCTAGTGAGATCTGCTGGTCTCCTTACCTCCTGCCTCGCCTCTCCAACCCAGTCTTCCACCACACGGCCAAAGGAGTACTTGAAAAACATAAACCTACCATTTCTCCTGTTTGCAACCCTTCGATGGCTTCCCAAAGCCCAATCTTCCTAACCCAGTTTACCACAACCTTCAAGACCCAGCCCTTGCTCACCAGGGCAAGCTGACTTCTTCCGCTTCCTAGGCTCTGCTGTGCTCCCTCTTACCTCCCACCTCCTGGGCTCGCTGCGGTCCCACTTGAGGTCTCAATCTAGATGTCCCTCAGAGATGAACATCTATCCCACCCTCACAAAAACCCAGTCCAGACTGGTACAGGGGCTCAGAAGCACCTTCTATGTACCCTCATACTGCCCTCATCTCAGCGGATGGAAAGTGACTGTTCCTCTGTGTCTCTCCGAAGACAGCAGGGCCAGCGGGGCAGGGACCACTCCTGTCTTGTCTACAGTAAGGTGCTCAGGGAACAGTCATCAGATGAATTACTGAAAGACTGGCTTTCACAAGGAGTGATCTTAGTAGGCAGTGCTATTGACCCTATTGGAAATTACTCTCAATTCTTCAATAAAAGAAATAAAGGTAATTCCTTTTTTAAACAATGAAAATGGGTGGCCTCTATATGAGGCACACATTAGTCTTTGAAGCACAACCCGAATGTCAACCTTGGAAATATCTAATGCATTACCTTGCACATAGGATGAAATGAAACATTGCTGAGTGACAGACTTAACAAATTAATGAGCCAGCAAAGTAAAGCACATCAAAATCATGTGTCTTATGGGACAGGATTTATCCTATTCTTCCTTGCACTGATTTCCAGCTAATCAAATCTGGTCATTTTTCCTTCGCAACTTCCCTTCAGCGCAGCCCTTACCCCTCCAAATGATCCCAAGACTGGTCTGGGCCCTTAAGTGCTCGTGGTTGACTCTACCTGACTTTGGTCTCTGGCCCCCCTCAATCTACGAAGCTGCCTTCATAGTACCTTTCCAGGACATCGTAATAAAACTGGCCACAACTATCCATTACTGGAAAAACACATTTCACCGTCCTTTGCCATTCAAAGACCTTTACAACCTAATCTCAGACTACAACTCAGAAACATTTTAACACTATCATCAAAATTATATGTGCATTTGGTCACAAGCATTAATTCTCTTTCTCACCCTTCCCCACCCAGTTAAATTTCCAACTCTATTTCTAACAGTAATTCCTATTACTCTAAGACCATTCTTCTATACTGTTTTTGGACCTATTAATTTTGGATATAGCTTGTGACTTATGGATAAACATTTAGCTCATTTACCTCTTCCCTTCCAGCATACATCAGATTTTTTTAGTTCCTCTGACGGTCATCATTTACAGCTTTAAGCAACAAACCCATACCTTTATTTCCTGTTCCATCAACTAGAACCATTACCTTCTGATTTGGGGTTCTAAGCCCTTCCTTCAGCCCTTCTCTCAACACCTATTTTCAGACTTCCAATAAACGCTGCCTTCCGTCAAACTCTCCTTTGGACCATCTTTTGCCCACCACGGTGCTCTTTTCCATACAATTAAATTTTCTTCTCCCTCTTTCCTCTAGAGCCAGCTAAAGGCCAGGCTCCTCTGCCAAGGGGAAGCCTCACTGACTTCCAGTACATGGTGAAAACTCCTGGTCTTGAATTCCTGGGGCAGTTATTAATTGTTCTAGTAAGTGAAAGTGAAGTTGCTCAGTCATATCAGACTCTTTGAGACCCCATGGACTGTAGCCCAGCAGGCTCCTCCGTCCATGGGGATTTTCCAGGCAAGAATACTGGAGTGGGTGGCCATTCCTTCTCCAGGAGATCTTCCCAACCCAGGGAATGAACCCAGGTCTCCCACACTGTAGGCAGACGCTTTACCGTCTGAGCCACCAGGGAAGGCACTGTTCTAGTAATATGTTCTAGTAACCCACTGCCCATGTTCTAGTAACCAAGTCATTGTTCTAGTAACCCACTGCCCATGTTCTAGTAACCAAGTCATTGTTCTAGTAACCCACTACCAATTATATGCGTTATTATGCTGTTTTGTCTGCATTTGTATTTACCTTTCCAGTAAGGCATGTTTTCCAAACAAGACTGAGGTCTCCGTCTTAGCATTCTAACCACTCTATAAACATTTTTATGGACTAGTGCTAATAAAGCCTCTTATAAACCTCAAAAAGTTGAGATTCAAATACTGTCTTCGTTACCCAGTCGAGAAGATCAGATTACTTCACCAGTCACACAGGTCTGGACTACAACTAAATAAAACATCCGAAAGAAGCATACTTCTATAGATGTAAACACATAACTTCACTAGGGAAGGCACGCAATTAAAATTTTCAATCTGCAGAACACCCGAAGTGAAATACAGAATCAACCTACCAAAAGAGAAAAAAAGCATAGCTCTTTAGAAGACATCTGACTAGCCCCTTTGTCTTAATTACACTTAAGTAGCTGGGATTTCCCGGTGAAAGCCCAGGAAAGCTGCAGGAACTCCAGCAAGGGAAAAGCCTGAGACAGGACTGGGTTAAAAGCTCGGGACTCCTCCCCGCTCGGGGTCATCTACGGAGGGGTAGGAGGAGCACGAGAAGTCCCTAGTGTGTTATCCTTCCCCATCAAGTCGCCACGCGGGAACCCGGGGACGTCTGGGACAGAACGAGGTGCTCGGGTCTCGAGTGAAGCCTGGGGGTAGAGGGCTGCGACCGCCGATGGGCTGAGAACCCTCATCGCCAGGGCTGGGCAAGGGCCACCCGGCCGGACGCCGGCACGGTTTCCAGGGCGAGAGGAGTTACCGGGCGGGCAAGCCCGGGCACAGCCAGGTCCCTAGAGTTACCCTGCGGAGAGGGGTGAGAATGGTCGCGAGGGCCGCGGCTTTTGAGAGGGGCCGCGGCGGTTGCGGAGTAATTACCGGGGTGCCATTTCAGGGCCAGCTTCCGATAGGCTTTCTTGAGCTCCTCCTCGCTGGCGTCTCGCCGCACCCCCAGGGCTTCGTAGTGACACTTCATCGCCCGACAGGGCAGGGGGCTCGGGCCGGGGCCGGGGCCCGGGGCGGGGCCGGAGCCCGGGCCCGGGCCGAAAAGGCGGCGCTGGTTGCGGCACGCGGGAGCGCGGAGGGGGCGGCGCCGGCGGCGGCTCCGCATGGACAGGGGGAGGGCCCTGTTCCGGAAATAGCCGTGCGGGAGGAAGGCGGAGCCGCGGCGGGGAGGAGGCGGGGCCGCGGCGGGCGGGAGGCGGGGCCGAGGTGAGACGGAGGTAGGGTCACGGGAGGCGGGGCCCCGGGGGGTGTCATTGTGAGGGGCACAGACGGCAGTCAGAGAGACACTAACTTGACATCCGACCTGAGAGATGAGAAAGGAGTTTGATGGGATGAGATTCTGGAAAACATCTTGTAGTTCTTAAGATAATTTCTCAATTTGAGCCACGCTTTTACAGATGAGAAAACTCAAGCTTGAGGAACGCCCCACACTGATGAATGGCAGGATTCAGCTGGATCAAAACCAGATCTTTTAACTCTTTTCTTCGGTTACCACTTAATGAGATCTCTAATACTCCTTGTCCTGACCAATGTGCATGAGAAATAATAATTTTAAAAATGACTTATACTCAAACAATTTAAGAGGGAGCATCAACACGTTTTAAATTAATAATATTAAATGTTTTACTACCGTAAATAAAATTGCGCTGATCCTCCCATCCATCACTGTTGATGGATCCATCACATCCATCACTAACTTTCTGGACTCTAAACCTACATTTCCAAGATCGATTTCGGTTAAGAATGCTGTTAGGACTCAGCACTTTCACTGCTGAGAGTCCGGTTGGATCCTTGGTCAGGGGAGCTAAGATCCCACAAGAAAAGTTCAGTTCAGTCGCTCAGTCGTGTCCGACTCTGCGACCCCATGAACCTCAGCACGCCAGGCCTCCCTGTCCATTATCAACTGCTGGAGTCTACCCAAACCCATGTCCATTGAGTCAGTGATGCCATCCAACCATCTCATCTTCTGTCGTGCCCTTCTCCTCCTGCCCTCAATCTTTCCCATCATCAGGGTCTTTTCCAAATAAGTCAGCTCTTCACATCAGGTGGCCAAAGGATTGGAGTTCAGCTTCAGTATCAGTCCTTCCAATGAACACCCAAGACAGATCTCCTTTAGGATGGACTGGTAGGATCTCCTTTAAGTCCAAGGGACTCTCAGGAGTCTTCTCCAACACAGTTCAAAAGCATCAATTCTTCGGTGCTCAGCTTTCTTTATAGTCCAACTCTCACATCCATACATGACTCCTGAAAAACCATACCGTTCACTAGACAGACCTTTGTTGGCAAAGTAACATCTCTGCTTTTTACTATGCTGTCTAGGTTGGTCATAACTTTCCTTCCAAGAAGTAAGCGTCTTTTAATTTCATGCCTGGAATCACCATCCGCAGTGATTTTGGAGCCCAGAAAAATAGTCAGCCACTGTTTCCCCATCTATTTCCTATGAAGTGATGGGATCGGATGCCACGCTTTTAGTTTTCTGAATGTTGAGCTTTAAGCCAACTTNAAAAAAAAAAAAAAAGAATGCAGCTAAGGGATAGTATTTAACCGGTAGCAGGTTTTGGTTGATGTAACTGATACACTGTATTATGGGGTGAAAGATCCCTACAACTGTTGTTAAATTTAGATTGTCAACCACATATGGTTAGAAGAGTTGGCTCTGTTACTAACAAATCTCTCTTGTACAGGATCAGGGTACCCAAAGTCTATGAAGTTGTCCCTTTCTTCCCTAACATCCTGCCCTCTGCACAATCAAAACAAACCAACTCTTAAATCTCAATTTCTAGGCACAACACTGTCCAACCAACTCACTACTAAAAATTCATACACTAGCCTCTTTTCCAAAGGAGGATACTATATTGTCTTGGATTATAAATGATAATAGGGAAGATTGAGAAGTTTGAGTGCAAGGAAAAACAGGACATTTCCCTATCTGAGAATGGAATTAGGAAAGGGGAGTAAACAGTGAACAAAAAAATGACTTTTTTCTTTCTCCAATTCCATCTGGTTTTGCTACTTCTCAGTCACTTGCATCTTTTTCTTTCCTGAGGAAAGAGGATCCATTTTTGCTTGTAATACTGTATCAAAATTTAAAGACAATTACACTGTATGTAAATTTCAGCCTAAAGGAAGATCTTTATTAAACAGGTTGACTTCTAAATGAACATGGACTTGAGAAATTCTCAAATGAGGTATCCACATAAATGATTACAATAATGTCTTATTTTCATTCTATATTCAATTGCTTAAATATCGGCTTTTCCCCCTGAAGTAAGCGTGAGTCGCTCAGCTGTGCCCGACTCTTTATGACCCCATGGACTCTTTGCTACAACACAGGACCACCAGGTTCCAGATTTTCCAGGCAAGGATACTAGATTGGGTTGCCATTTCCTTCTCCAACAAATTCGTGTAACTACCACACAAAAACAGTATTAGTCACAAAAGAAAAACCAATACCCAGCCAAAACACAGTATTCATATTTTTTACCTATCAAATTGGCAAAGATTATCTCATCATTAGCAAGGGTACAAGGAAATGAGCACTAACCTCTGATGAGGTACAATATCTAGAGGAACAAGTTTCTAACTTTTGACCAGGGTTCTTAACTCCATATATTGTACAAAATATGTATAGAATGTTTGTGGCAAGCATCTATACCAGAAAAGATAAAACTGAAATACTCAAATATCCAACAATAAGGGACTGCTGAGGTGTGGCAGAATAGAATACTGTGCAATTACTAATGTTGCAGAGCAAGGACAGGAAAATGATTTGCAGGAAAAAAGTGACAAAACACCACACGCATGACCCTACCCTGTCCCTGGCCACTTGCACCCAGAATCTTGTCTATTACTAATTGTTCTTCAGGGTGATAAGCCCAGTGCTCTTTCTGCTTCAAATAAAGTTCTTTCATAACAGGAAAAATTCACATGTTCTGGTGCCGTAACTGTTTTTAAGTAATTTACACCCACTGCTTCTAAATTAAATTTGCAGTCTACAAAATGCTTTCAATACATATATCAACTTATTTGATTTGCAAAACCTAAATATTTTTCTCATATTTTTTCAAGGTAACAAAACAAGAGAAGTTGGCTCTTCCCGTGCCTTGTGACTCAGGGACTCAAACCTCAGCAAGATGCTTTCCCCTTCTAGCACTCCACCCTCACTAAACCATCTGAAATGATGCCCTCAAAGTGCCTAATACTGTTTTACATATAATAACAATCCAGTAAATCTGCCTGAATTTCAGATTTAATAAACTCAAAATTTTAATCCAAAACAGTGGGCCTAAACCATAAATGTGCTAAATTTTTAGTAACATGTAAAGCTTTAAAAAGAAAAACAGAAATTAGGTGATGAGTTCTGGTGATATTTTATTTAGAAAAACATAGACCCACCCGGACCAAAGTCACAAAATCTTAAGTTTTTCTTTTAAATGTTGCACTAATTAGATGTAAGGCCATCGCAAATAACAAAAGTATTTACACACTGAACACAAAATAAATATAAAACAACTGAAATCAAATCAGTTCTCCATTGATTCATTTTGCATTCCCACTGCTCATCTTCTGTTTCATTTTTCTTTGTCTTTTGTAAATCCTTTTCTTTCTGGCTTTCAAATCGACTTTTGGCTCTGGTTTCACCCACTGTATTTCTACCGGCTTTTCCTCGGCCGGCGTAACAAAAACATCTGCAGTGGGATCATGGGGAAGAATAGTCTTTGGTTCTTTCTTTCTCAGCTTCTGCACATCTTTCACTTGCTGTTTCTCTCTGTATTTTGCAGCTGTGATGGATCTTATGAGACGCCGATGCTAGAAACAAAAAAAATATGAAAGGTGCTTTTGAATAAAAATAAACATTTTATACATGGCAAGGACATTCACTTATGAAACCTATTTCCCTTTATCCTGCATCATCATCAAAAAAAAAAAAGTAATCTTTAAGACTGGATGCAGCAAAAACCAAATTCAGTTTCACAGTTAACAGAACACTTATTTGGCAGAATTACTTTGGCCCGAGTTTTAGGACACCAAGGACCGCTGAACAGAAACAGCTTACCATGTTTGGTGACTGGTAGTGAGGATTTTCATACAAAGTTGGTCCTCCAAAACTTCCCTGGAAAATCTTTATAAGATTTAAGACAAAACGGGGTCCTATTTCTACAAGAGCGGCATCTTCTTCTATGATCTTTAATTAAAAAAAGGAAACATTTCATTTTGATTTGAATAAAATACTTCTAAATGGTACACAGGCTATATCCTCATTACAAATGTACCTAAAAGAACTGATAACCAATAAAGTTAAGATGGAAGGGAAACTTGGCAAATGCCAAAGCATCAATATTTTCTGAAATGTATTACTGGTTACAGGTAGTTGTCATAGGAAAATATAAATGTCTTTTCAGTGTCTTTAAAATTGAGTCATTTCAATCTGGTCTGTATCTAGCTTCTCACAACACATGTCTTCTTACAAAACTGGTCAAATGATTATTTAAAATTGCAACCATGAGACAAAATGTATTCAAGCACCCTATGTGGCACTCTTTCAAAATTTAAATCAATCCTTGAGTTGTTTTTATAAATCTAATTCAAATTAGATTAAAAGACATATAAAAGGATACATGGCAAAATTTATTTTTGAATGGCTACTGACTGTGGAATTAAGGAGCAACTTCTGAACCACAAATATTACTATTGTTGTTTAAGGTATGCCGGCATTCAGAGGTTAAGAAGGGGATATGTTTAACTCATGTATCTTTTCTGCTTAACACAAGCAGAAAAAGGCCCAGTTTACTTCACACGCTGTCTGAAATTCTGTCTTGCTGTTTTCATCCACTTCTCCTCCTGAATGAATCACTGTATGACTCATCTAATAGTTCTCATCAAATGTTTTCTACGGGAGCTATGTTTTTCTAAGTCTAAAACCCCACCCCAGCCCCAGCAGCCTCTAACCTCTTAGGAGAGAAACTTATATTTTACTCAATATATAGTGATTTGTGAGAAAATCCATACTCCGTATCAGCGGATAGCCATGAACTTAGGTTATGAAATAGGGGTTATTTACTACAAGTCTGT